TTGGACTTTTAGCCTACTTTGTGAGGAAATAAACTTCTCTTCATTAATACCATCCACTTGTGGAATTTATGTTATAGCAGCACTAGATGACTAAGCTTCTAAACTGGGTTCAGATTCGTCTATGATGTTAATGAGGCAAGATTAGAGGCAGGACTCAATCTACAAGATTAGACTGTCTTAAGTCAATCTCTTTTGAGATATAAAAGAGAAACGAGCAGAGAGACAGGGAGACCTCAAACCACCAAGAAATGAGCCAGGAGAATAGCATGTCCTTTGGACCTGGGGTCCCTGCGCCTGAGAAACTCTTTGACCGCGGAAGATTGATGACAAGGACCTTACCCTTGAGCTGGCAGCCTGAATTTGGACTTCTAGCCTCTGAGACTGTGAGAGAATAAATTTCTCTTTGTTAAAGCCATCCACTTGTGGTATTTGTGTGATAGCAGCACTAGATAACTAAGACCCTGTTTCCAAATAAGGTCAGATTTTGAGGTTCTGGGTAGACATGCATTCTGGAGGAACATTGTTCAGCTTCCCAATACAGTCATGGATATTTTCAGTTTCATTTTACAAATGAGGAAACTGAGTCTTGGAGAGAGGAAAGGTCGGTTTTCTTAATGTAACCCAGTTAAGCTAGGGTTGGACTTTTTATTTTCTCATTTCTAAGCTAGTGCTTTATCTCCTCACTATGGTTTGTGCTTAATTTTAGCTGGGCAGTGTAAGCTCTCACGCAGTGGTGTGTGTGTACGTGAGTATGTATGTATGTGCATGTACACATATATGTGTGTATGTATACACACACACACACACCCATCAGACTCAGTACTTGCCTTTGCTGGATAGAATTTCAGCAGGACTAGAGAACTTAATAGCTAGATAAGCCAGTGCCAGGGACAGGCAATAGAAGGGTACACGGGAAAATCAGAGCAAAGAAAATGAGCTTCTACAAAGCAGCCGGTTCCTCGCAGGACGCTTCGTGCTTGCTTGCAGCAGAGGGACAGGAGCTTTGCTTGCGGGGAGGGGTTGATACAGTTTTGGCTTTAATGGGCAGTGTACTAGCATGGGCCCTAAGACGGGGCCTCCACCATCGGGCTGCGCATCTCCGTGGCAGAGAACCATCATCGCTCGGAGAACTGTGTGGTCTTTCGGTGTTGACCGAGCAGCTACTACGTGCCAGGCTCTGAAGGCAGCACAGAGGTCCTCTACAGTCCCCCCTTATGGAGCGTAAATTTAGCAGGGGAGACAGACATTAAACATGCAGTAACGTTAACTCACGACAATTGAAATGAGCAGTAGAATGGGAAAGTAAATGGAACTTTACGAGTTCACAGCAGGGCCTGTGCTTGCCAAGGACTTGATGTTTTTATCTGCTCATTGAGGGATGAGAGAACATGAGCTTGGTGAAGCTGGGCGTGGGGGCTTGTGGGGATGCGCTGAGGTGGGAAGTTACGAGGCCCGTCGGAGGCATGGCTAGCATGAGATAGGAGGAGGCAGGGTCGGCGCCTTCCATCCTGTATGTCACATGATGGATTTTGGTCACATCCTTTTCTTCAGTGTTCACCTGTCCCCACCCCACCCTTCATACCATCTCCAAGGTCCACTGGCCATCTGTTGCCTGTGAAACATGAAAGGCTGTGCCACATGTGAGGGAGAAACTATAACCCAGGCACACAGCTGGGCTTTGTGGGGCCAGAACTTTATATAATTTGAGAGGGGAGCTCTTTTCATGAATATATATATATAATTATCAATGCAAGTTAGGTATAATAAGTGGATAGGGGCCATGTCAGTGAAGGGCCCTCACTTAAGTTTCATTGACTTTGTGGTAAATCCCCTCTGGTGTTAGTTACCTTCTCATAGTGCCTTCCTTCATTTCTCCTGAGCCATCCATGCCGTCCTTCCACCCACTTCCTCCTGTTTTCTCCTTGGTTGAGATGGCAAATGAAAGCACAGACGTCTTGTGTTGAAATGTCCTGGAAGTTGGGCTCTGTCCTTGCCCCCAGTGGTGTCCAAAAGAACATGTGGATTTCCTCTTCTTGCTCAAGACTTCCATGAGCTTTTCCCCCGCAATCAAGGAAGGGAATGTTGGCCGGGACACTTTATTCTTTCGGAAACATGGCACAGGAGTATGAATTTCCATAGGCAAAATTACTCTGTCTGGTTGGGTCTAGACTGTTTGTTGGCCAACAAGTTTCTGGAGTCCACACTGGCGCTCTGAGAAACCTCCTAGAATTGTTCTGTGGGAGGAGAACAGATCACCTGGAACTATATTCTGTGGGGAGAAAAAAAACGGCAGACATGAGCAACTGACCATAAAGAAGTTTAATAGTGAATACATAACGATTTAAAAAATGGCAAAAGGCTCTTGTCTCCAAGACCCACTGAAATGATCAAAGCTGTCTGAAAATAGCAGAATCCCTTGTCAGTCTGGAACGTAGAGAGAAGCCTGCCGTCCACAGATCAGAAATGTTGAAGAGGCTGAGACCAGACTGAGAGGACTGAAGCCTTCTGTGTACCACAGAGAAACGAAAGCTAGAATCCTTCCCCAGATGCTGCTGCTTATTCCCAGGCTGTCCTCCACAGATATGCCCAAGCTCTGGCATATCCCGTAGCCCTCTGAAAATACATTGGGTTTTGGCACATGGAGCATCAGGCCCCAGCACTGAGTGGGGCTTTGGCTGCTGAGGCCCAGTCTTGGTTTGAGAAAGGACACTGTACCCCTATTAAATGCCAGCTGTCCTAGCTGGACATGGGGAAGAACCCCCTCAGCCTAATTGCCTTAGGCTTTTCCTTCTGGAACTAAAAATTAGAATATGATCCTGTTCTTAAGATGGAATCCATCTTAAATATAGATTTCCCCCCTTTCCCCAAGAGAGCAAATAGAGGAAAATGACCAGACTATAGTCTAAGAACTCTTGACTCAGCTGGATTATGGCTCAGTCACATCTGAGAACATCCAGAGGACATTCTCAGACGAGCAAAGACTGAGAGGATGCCTACCATGTACACTTCTTGAAAAAACTACTTGAACCAGCACTTCAGTGGGCTAAGGAATGAGCCAAAATAAAGAATGTTATTATTAGGTGCCATCGAGTCGATTCTGACTCATAGCAACCCCATGTGACAGAGTGGAACTGTCCCATAGGGCTTTCTAGGCTGTGATCTTTACCTGGCGAAAGATCGCCAGGTCTTTCTCCCATGGAGCCACTGGGAGAGTTCTGAGCTGCTGAGTGGGTTCGAACTGCCAACCTTTTGGTTAGCAGCCAAGCACTTAACTGTTGTGCCAGCAGGGCTCCTTAAATGAACTCATGAAAGCAAGACCACCATTGGTTTGGGTTTCCTTGGGGCCTCAGGACCCATCACATGGCGGGGAGTTGGCTTCTTTTAGGTGGTGTGGAGGGCTTAAAGGGCACGGGAGAATTCCCTGATGTGCAGGAAGGTAAAGTGGCTGTTATTTACGCATGTGCTATTGGAGAGTCCTGCTCCAACCTTCCTGTTGTGTCTCTCACAGACCGTTTTTGAAAGGAATTGCCGTTCCGAGGACTGTGCCGCGGACCTGCAGCTTCGGGGGAAACTGCTGCTCTCCAGGTACGTCAGTGGTTCTTTCACAGCACTGTTCCGAGAAGTTCGTTTTTCTTGACTCCAGGCCCAAAACCGGATGTGCGGATTTCCTCAGTGAAGAGTGTGGAGTTAGTGGGTAGAGCTCAGCTGCCAACCAAGAGGTCAGCAGCTCAAATCCACCAGCCGCTCCTTGGAAACGCCATAGGGCAGTTCTACTCTGTCCTGTAGGGTCGCTATGAGTCGAAATAGATTCGACAGCAGTGGGTTTGGTTTGATTTTTGGAGGTTTAAAAAATGTGTATTGTAAAATAATTTTAGCAATAACTATCATTTTGGGTGATGGTTTTGTTTTGTTTGAAGTTCCACATACCTCATAATTTAATTCTATATTTCTAATTTCTGTGACAGCTTGAGGAGAGAGTATTTTAGCTTTGCTCATTGTGTTGAGTTGAGCCATATGAAATTGCTGACATTTGACTGTGTGGGGGCAATTTCATATGGTTCAACCTATTATTATATAAAGGTTTCTTCGATTTTTTTCCACAGTCAGCAGTGCCATCTGCTTTAACAAAAAGTAATGTTTCTGTGGCAGGACGGGGGTGAGGAAGAAGGGCAGGCCGTCGTGGTCAAGTGAACAGTCTCTTTGTTGTTTCAGGGTTTCCTCCCGCAATACGTGAATCCCCCAAGGCTAAAGGTGAACGGTACAGAGGCCTTCTGTTTCCTCTTTGCCAGCCTTTTATTTTAGGTTTCTTTTAGGATGAAGGTTCTGGTCCTGGATCATTTAACCACATTTCAGAGAACGGTTTCCTTTTGAAACAATCCCTTCTGAAAGATTTTTTTGGCCTTGGGGCCAGAAAGCCTACCTATAAGATTTATTACCGTTTCTCAAAAACAGTCATCGTATTCTGCCAGTGCGTCTCTAAAACGCCATAGTGTGCCTTCCGTGGGTGAACTATGAGTGTTAGTTTGGGTGGAGTGAAGAAATATCCCACCCGTGACTACAGGAGGGCGCTTGTACTTACGATGGTAAATAATTTTTATTCTTCAAAGGAAAATGATTCTAAGAGTCTTTTTTGTTGTTGTTGTTTGAATTTATTGGGGAGGGGATATAACCCCCTGTCAAACACATATATGCCAATGCTCCTGCAAACCACTGAAGTATTCATTAGCATTACTGTTACTCAGAACTAGCGTGGGAGATTACAGTAGCACGGGCTTCGCCAAGCTTAGAACATTACTTAAAACTCATGGACTGGATGGTAGAATTGTTTACCGTTAGTGAGGAAGACCTTCGGAGATTATTGGAGAAACGTTACAAAAAAGGTTTATAAATTATCATCCCATTAATCTGAATTTCAAATAGATCTTCCAAAAAGTGTTTTAGGCACAAAGTAACATGAAGCAAAAAATATGGGTTTGTTTTATCTTGGGGCCAACTGTAAATGTTGGAAATTTATTTGGGATCACAGAAAACTTGACGTGGGAAAATGAGCGTTTGATCCAAGGTTAAATATTAAGTAAGGAAAGACCTGACGTTCTCGTTACCCATCAGTGGCGTCAAATCCATCTCAACTGAATTGTGCTTTTCATATATTAAGACATAAAATTTGAGGCTCATGGCCGATGTGTCTAAAGCTGCCTCCACTTCCCCAAACTGGACTTCCAAGAGTGCTGGTAGAACCACTTCTGCTCTGTGCGGCCAGTAATCAATAATGCTAGAGCTAGCGTGGGGGCCAGGGCAGTGAGTATGGTGAGCCCCATAGATATCAGCTAGCTATTGCCACAAAAATGCTGTGTAACAAACCACCCCAAAACTCAGTGGCTTAAAATAGCAGTCACTTATTCCCATGGATCTGCGGCTCAGTTGAGGGCTGGCTGATCCAAGCTGGATTTTGTTGGCTCTTGGCTGACTTGCTCAGGCATCTGGGGTTCAGCAGAGGACATGTTGCTCTAGGCGAGGCTCGAGTGATTCACTTCAGGTCTACTCCATTGCCTTTCATTGTCTTCCTGGCACCAGTGGGTAGTCTGGGCATATTCTTCTCATGGCATGGCAGAGATGCAAAAAGACATGTGGAAACATGCAAGGCTCTTAAGGCCTAACCTCAGATCGGTGCACTGTCACTTCAGCCTTATCCTGTTGGCCACAGCAAGTCATGTGGCCAAACTCAAAGTCCAGGATCAGGAAAATACTCTTGACCCCCTTGGTAGGAGGTACTTCAAAGTTACATGGTAAAGGCATGAATCCAGGGAGAGGCGAGGAACTGAGACCGATAATGCAATCTGCCACACCACTTAAAAAGCAGGGTGACTTCGTCTCTCATTTGATGCTTTAAAGTTTTCAGGGCTATTTCAGCCTTTCTTGCAATTCTGTCTTCCTAGAACTTGGACATGAGACCTGGGGACTGAGTGAGGAAGTTTCCTGAGTCTTAGAAGCAATGTCCTTGGACTAAGCTCTGAGCTTCTTCTTAGGATGAGTTATGTCCCAGGAGGCCCCCTGGTCTCTCAAAATAGCCTTCTGTCTGGCTCCTTCACTAAGCAACCCTTCATTATACTCTTGGGCTCATGGCTGTCCCCAAAGGGGCCATCAGAGAAATGTTAATTGATGATTAGATGAGCAGAGATTCAAAACCAGGCTTTCAGTTACATTGAATTTCTCCAGACCTTTGAGTGTTCAGTCTGCAGAGACAGACTCAAAGAGAGACAGGAGCCGTCAGTCAACTGCTGATGGAAACCAGCGTCTGACTTTGGTTGACCAAGACTTAGTAGCTTGAACCAGAGGTGAGCTGCTTTGGTTACCATTTAACTCTCTTGATTCATTGTTGTCTGGAATGGGACACACATGCCTTCACTGTTCAAGCCAGGCAAGTACTGGGCACCAGGCTGCAGAAGTGACCAGTGTGTGGCCTCTGCTCTCCAGGTGTGCACAGCTGGGGTGGGAGAAGGGCAAGAGACTGGACGATGGTGGTGCCACCTGGTGAGTTCTGGAAGAGAGGTGGGTGGGCCACCACAGGGCTTCAGAGCAGGTTCCAGGAGAAGGTACTAAGAGGGATGACGACGACCAGACGTTCTGGGCAGAGGGAAAGTGAACAGAGGCATGAAAGTGTGGAGATCAGGTGTCTGGAGTGAAGGGGGTGGCCAGGAGAACTCGGTGAAAGATGAGACGGGAGACGGAGACAGAAAGTAACCAGATTGTGAACCACGTACCCTCCCTCCCTCCCTCCATCCATCCATCTATCTACCCATCCACCCATCCCTCCCTCTCTCCATCCCTCCATCCATCTATCTATTGGCTTCTAAAAGTGCTTGGCAATATAGTAAGCACTCAATAGATGAGAGCTGTTATTTCATTTAATTCTCTCAACGACAGAGAAGTAAATATTATCACGCTCTTTTAGTGAGAGGACACAGAGGCTCAATTAACTTATTCAAGGGCTCATAGTGGTGGCGGTAGGATTAAAGCCAGGAATGTCTGGTCCTACATCCTGCTCTCTTTCTCTACACTGGCCTCAGTTGCTGTCACGTTCTGATATCAGATGGATCTGAACCTGAAGTATTAAGACTGAGGGCCTTGGAGGAAAAAAGTCCTCCCCTATGTGAAAAGCCCCAATTCAGAGAGAAGGTAGATGGGTGAAAAATCCATTATCAAAGATGGCTGCCATCCATCCCCACTCACCATCCATCATGTGCTGCCCTGTTCCATGCAGTTCCCTCTGGAGATGTTCGACACCTGTCCTGCTGGGGGCATGGCGGTCCCTGTGCTGAGTCAGTGCATTCCTTACCCACATAGGTTGGATTTTCTGTCCTTGGCGGGCCTCAGATTTGACTGTGAGCCTGTGGCTGCCATTTCAGCCATTTCCTCAAATGTAACATGATCACTGCTATGATTATTACTATTATTATCATTATTATTGGATTAGAGGGAAGGTGAGTGGGACTGCTCAGCCACGTGGAAAACGTTTGCCCTTGCCAGAACATAAGTCATGTGATTGATTTTTTTTTTTTTCTTCACTGTCTGCCCAGCTCTGGAAAAAAAATGCAAAAGAAGTTTGTTGATTGGGAGCAGCTGGGCTTTTGTAGTTGCTGTTTCTGGAATCTCTGGAGAAGGAAGAGCTTTTTCAGTGTTATATTCTGGGGGAGAGAAGACAAATGCCCCAGTGGGTGCTTATCTTCACTCTCCTCTCTCAATATAATTATTTGCCCTGGCTCTGACGTGGCGTTCCCAACAGGAGTCAGCAGGTGTCTCTCCCCACATTTCAGGTATACACAAAGATTAATGGACGGGTGGGTGGTCTTTCTGTGGGAGTTACCTAGGTGGGGGGTGGGAGGTAGGTGGGATTTAGGTACCTGCAAACGTTATCACAATGTAAGGCAAGCAGAAAAGATTGAAGTTGTCAAGGATTTCATTTTACTTGGATCTACAGTCAACACCCATGGAATCAAGAAATCAAAAGACGCATTGCATTGGGCAAAGCTGCTGCAAAAGACTTCTTTAAAGTATTAAAAAGCAAAGATGTCACCTGAAGACTTAGGTGTGCCTGACCCAAGCCATGGTGTTTTCAGTCGCCTCATATGCATGCGAAAGCTGGGCAATAAATAAGGAAGACTGAAGAAGAATTGATGCCTTTGAATTATGGTATTGGCGAAGAATATTGAATATATCATGGACTGCCAAATAACAAACAAATCTGTCTTGGAAGAACTACAGCCAGAATGCTCCTTAGAAGCAAGGATGGCAAGACTACATCTTACATACTTTGGATATGTTGTCAGGAGGGATCAGTCCCTGGAGAAGGACATCACGCTTGGTAAAGTAGAGGGTCAGTGAAAAAGAGGAAGACCTTCAATGAGATGGATTCACACAGTGGATGCAACAGTGGGCTCAAGCATAACAACGATCGTGAGGATGGCGCAGGACCGGGCAGTGTTTCGTTCTGTTGTTGTACGTAGGGTCGCTATGAGCCAGAGCTGACTCCACCCCACCTAACAACAACAACAAAGGCAAGCAGAGCCACTTCGCACACTGGAGGA